AGATAGTGCTCCGGAGAATGGCGGGGTTACATCCGTATTTATACATTCCAATCAAAGGAAGAACATAGATGGGTTACATGAAATTCATTGGTAATAGATTAAGGAGGTGGGATTAAGCGAAGCGGGGAAACCTCTGGGATAGGATAAAAAGTAAAATGATGGACACATACTTAGGTGGGTGCAGGAACAATTAACATGATGATGAAGGAATTTGTGGTATCTGTCCTGGGCCCAGCACACCTGGTTGTGCCCCAGGGGCTCCAGATACAGGGAAGTCACAAGTTACCCAGACATCCCAAGGATATGTTATCTTAGATGCAAAAAGACAGATAGGCTCAGTTAAGGTAAAGATTGACCTTGTCAGTGAAGATACTGGCCTAGGACGTAACTGCCCACCATAACTGCTTTTAGTTAAAATTTAATTTCAGTCCATCCTTTGTGGTTATTTTAGGTCTCTGAGTCTGCAAAACTGCCACGCAGGCCTCTCCTGAGCTTGTCAGGTCAGCATGTGGCCCCTTTCGTCCACACATCCCCCTTTTGGTCATAAATCAATCCAAAGGATGCATTGATGACCAACCTTTTGGTTGGATAATGGAATCCCACGTTGCTAGGAAGGCTCATTCCTAGGAAGTCTCAGTGTCAGCATGTCTTGCTGAACAGGTGGACCACTGGGGATGGGGCAAGACCATAACCTTAGATGGCATTTAAGGTCGAATTATTATTATTTAAAAAGGGCAGGTAAATGGGAGGCAGTCAGGTCCTATATGTCCTTGTTAAAAAAAATAGTCTGGATCATTTCTAATTTTTGAGCCACCATGATCCGAGTCTTTTTGCTGTTTGTCAAGTTTTGTTTTTCTGCATCTAGTATAACATTTACATACCAGGAACAAAAGTAACAATACTAAACCAACATTGATTAGGAACAGAAAATGTCTAATACTAGACAAGGAAAAAAGTCTGAGGGTAACAAGCATCTCAGCCAAAAAAAAAAAAGAAAGGTGAGAGAAGGGCATTCAAGTTGGGGCAATTGGTGGAGCAGAGGCGTTTAGGCTGGAGACAGATTTGGGAGTCACAGCATTTCCAAAGGTAACTGAAGCTGTGAGAATAGAAGGCCATGGAGAAGCAATCAGAGCAAGAGGAGAGTCTGGAGACCAAGAAGTAAGAGAGGGGAATTTCAGAAATTTCTAGGTTCCTCCCACACAAGGCCAGGGATGGGAGGACAAGCAGGGGGTCAGAGTGGACCTGTGGGTCTCTCCTGAGAGGAAGACAGGATCCTGGGCTCAGCACCCTGGGAGGAGTGAATACTGGGCCACATCAGAGGCAGCCTGGGAAGGTGGAGCCCAGCCAATGGCCCGGCTAAGTGCAGCTCCTCCTCTTCCTAGGCCAGCGACACACCCAGGCTGCAGCACTCTCTCAGGTTCGGTCCCAGGAATGGGCTTCCCCAAGCACCCTCTCTGGTTCTGACATGAATTCCGACTGCCTGCTGAGTCCACTGCTGGCTGTCCGGAGCCAGGACCCGGAGAGCCCTGAGGAGTAGCCACTCAGGTAAGATCATCTGTATCCAAATGGACCCTGTCCCTTGGTACACCTGGGGGACTAAAACCTCTCTGGTGGGGAGTCGAGGAAGTTAGTCGAGGAAGGTGGCCTGGACACGTCCGCCACCCTGGGTCCTGATGGTGGAGAAATAAAGGGCTCCTCCCTGCTCTGCTCTGGGATTTTCCCAACTGAGCAGAGGCGGGAGGCAGGGGCTGAGTGGAGAGGAGCTCACAGGGAAACCGGGAGCTGGGCAAGCGGAGCAGCGCTGCCTGGGCCTGCATGGCCCTACCCTGCCCCACCCCACGTGGGCTGGGCCTCGAGCCCCTAGGGACTCAGGGCTGGAGCCTCCTGGTTATTCCCTGAGAAGCTGCCAGGAGTTCCACCCCCTTAGCAGGATTGAGCAAAGCCCAGCTGATGAATCAGGGCAGGGGCCCCACTTCCCAGTGAAGGGTGGTGGAGACAGACAGTGTAGAGAGAGGGTAGGAAGCGGACACCCCAGCCTCCCTCAGCCAGGACCTACCTGGTGTAGGAGGGAGTGGGCACAGACCAGACACCCAGGCAGCTTTCCAGGAAAGGGGCCCAGCCCCAGAGTGTGGGTCCTGGAGCCATCCTGCCTGAGTTCCCGTCCCAGCTCTGCCGCTCACCAGCTGTATAACTGTGAGCAAATTAATTAACCTCTCTGTGCTCTGCTTTCCTCATCTGGAAATTGGGAATAAAAGTTATCATACCCTTTCCTGCAGTTGCTTCTGCATTGATTCATGCAAAGGGCTCAGAATAGAGCCTAGCGCTGCATAAACACCCAACAAGTACTGGCTCTCACCATTACCCTGCTTGACTGCTGCAGGTCCTGGGGGTCAGACAGCCTGGTGACCTTCAGCCGGGACCCGCAGTCAGCAGGGTATTAGGAGCCTCTTAGAGAGAGAGGCTGATGCGGACAAGCTCCCTAGGTCCTGGGGGCCGGCAGGGTGGGACGAGTGCCAGGGCCTCTCCCCGCAAGAACCAGCCAGAAGAATTCCAAGAGGGAAAGTGGGTGCCCTTCACTCTGAACAGCAGTCCCATTCCGTACATGGAGGTAAATCTGACTCCTGATCTAGCACACCAAACTCGCCAGCAGGAGTAACGAAAGCAGCATTTCCCATGTTGGTGTCTTGACGAGTCGATTCCATACGATGATGACATTGGATTCTGTGGTCAAAGGAGTCTGGACAATACTGTACACTGAGTGGCCAGATTATTATGACCACCCCATCAGGATTTCATTGACACTTCCAAAAATACTGAATATTGAAAACTTCCTAAGCAAATACTCTCAAGGTTTTATTATTATTTGCATAACTAATTCACTTCATTGTACTGATGGGGTGGTCATAATAATCTGGCCACTCAGTATATATTCTGTCCCCCAGCGGGAGATTCACGCTGTGAGTCCATTAGTTTGGTCAAGGAAAGGGGCCTATTTCACTTTGCCGAATGCAATGTTTGCCTTCCTTTCTTGAACATGGGTTCCTTTTCCCTCACTACTCCAATAGCCAGACTATGGGATAGGGTTCTATGGAACACCAGTTTGGTAAACACTGCATTACCAGGCTACTCGAGAAAGCTTATTGTATAAAGAGAGCCGTCGACCCCTACCTTAGGTCTTTCAGCGGGATTGCCATTGGCCTTGCTTCAGGTGAGTTGCACCTGAGCAGGACACTGTGTGGATCATTTAACTGAGTGTTAGACCAGGTGGGAGTTTGCGGACAAGTTTCCAGTCTCCTCTCCAACCTAATCCTCCAAGTCAAAGAGCAGGTTCCCCTTGGGAGGGGCTGCCTCAGAGGAGAGAGCAGGGCACAGAAAGGAGAGAAGTCTTCCCAAGGCTCAGCCCCCCGGGGAGGAGGGCCAGCGTTGGAACAGAGGAAGAAGGCAGAATGTCCCACCTACTTAAGCCTTTGCGCTGCAGGCCTGCAAGACCAGAGCCACAGGCCCTGAGAGGATTGAGGGGCTCCCTGGACTCACCTTCACCCACTTTTATGGAAAAGAGTTGGGTTCTTCGCTTAACTACTTACGCTCAAATCCCAGCTCTGCATCTAATAGTTGTGTAACCTTGTATAACCCCTCTAAACCTCAGTTTCCTCCATCTGTAAAATGGGTTCAGTGATAGAACCTAGCTCCTCTGAGGCTGTGAGGATTACATGACATGTTTCTCTCAAGTGTTCACAGTGACTACTTGATAAATGTGGGGGATTCTTATTATCGTTCCCTGCAGCAGCAGCCGCCGACGCCTGGATCCACCATGAACTGGGGGATCTTCGAGGGGCTCCTAAGTGGGGTCAACAAGTACTCCACAGCCTTCGGGCGCATCTGGCTGTCTCTGGTCTTCATCTTCCGAGTGATGGTGTACTTGGTGACAGCTGAGCGTGTGTGGAGTGACGACCACAAGGATTTCGACTGCAACACCCGCCAGCCGGGCTGCTCCAACGTCTGCTATGACGAGTTCTTCCCCGTGTCCCACGTGCGCCTCTGGGCCCTGCAGCTCATCCTGGTCACGTGCCCCTCGCTGCTGGTGGTCATGCACGTGGCCTACCGGGAGGCACGGGAGAAGAAGCACCGAGAGGCAGTGGGGGAGGACGGCGGGCGCCTCTACCCGAACCCCGGCAAGAAGCGGGGTGGGCTCTGGTGGACGTATGTCTTCAGCCTGGTGTTCAAGGCCAGCATAGACATCATCTTTCTCTACGTGTTCCACTCCTTCTACCCCAAATACACCCTCCCTCCTGTGGTCAAGTGCCACGCGGCTCCGTGTCCCAACATAGTGGACTGCTTCATCTCCAAGCCCTCGGAGAAGAACATCTTCACCCTCTTCATGGTCGCCACGGCCGCCGTGTGCATCCTGCTCAACCTGGTGGAGCTGGCTTACCTGGTGAGCAAGAGGTGCCGCGAGTGCCTGGCAGCGAGGAAAGCCAGGGCCGCCAGCGCCTCTTCCTGCAAACAGGAGGACCTCCTCTCAGGGGACCTCATCTTCCTGGGCTCAGACACTCACCCTCCTCTCTTACCAGACCTCGCTCGAGACTATGTGAAGAAAACCATCCTGTGAGGGGCTGCCTGCGCTGGGCTGGCAGGGTGGGCCCAGCATGTCACGGGTGCAGCCTTCGCGCTGGGAAGCTCCTGCCACCTGCCCCAGCTGTGTGGCCTTGGGCACTTCCGTTTCCTTCTGTGTAAAATGGAGATGATGAGGCCACCTCATTGGGTTGTTGCTATGAGGAAGAGTTTAATGAGAGATCAGATGTGCAAGCCACTTTCATGTGTGGGGCCCGCAGTCAGGGATTAATAAAAGTCCACTCCTCCACTGATTCAAGGTGCCCTTTGGTTCCTCGGCCTTGGTGACCCTTATCGGGTCATTCGGTCCCTCTCTCTGCCCCTGGTCCAGCCAGGTGAGGGGCCATCCTCTCCCCCAGAAAGGGTGCCCAGCACCCCTAGGGGTCATGCTGCCTGCTCATGCCTTTAACCTCCGTTGCAGTGTTAGGCCTGCAAAGAGAATGCACCTTAGCATGTGGGGAGCGGCGTTGAGCAGTCGAAAGTTCAGGACTTGAGTCGGAACGCTTGCATTCCAGCCCAGGTTTCAGCGGGACTCTGGGAAAGTGACTTCGGCTCTTCTCCAAATGGGCCAATGCACCCGTGGGGTTGTTCAGAGGACTGATGAGCTCATGGTTGTGCATGGGGTTAGCCGGCTGTAAAAGGCCACATAAATGTTAATCATTGGTATTAGGGTGCGCTGGATAAATGCTTGTGGGAAATGAGGCCCAGCCCCTCCCTGGCTACACATTAACCTTCACTGCCCTGAGGCCCCTCTGCAGTCCCACTGGGTCCCACTCCGGCTTCCCCGGAGGCCTGGCCACAGAGGACTGACAGCTGGGGCATGTCATGCTGCCAACCTGCACTCCTTGTCTCCACCAGGGCAGTGGGTCCCCTCGACTAGAACACAGTCAGCCCCTCCCATCCCCTATGCGCCTTACCAGCAGCCCAAGCTCTAGTCCCTAGAAATGCCCCCACCAGGGTAGGATGCTGAATCAAGATTGCCCCTTTCCATAGATGTCAGCTGCTGAGGACGTCAGAACCAGCCTTCTGCAGAAAGGGGCAGGAGAGAGGCCTGGGGCCAAGGGGCAATGAAGCAACAAAAAGTGGACAGGAGCAATGCCGTTGTTGCTGGCCCCGGCCTGGAGAATGAGGATACCAGGCAGGCTATTGCCCCCCACATCACCCCCGCCCCTCACTGCAGTCTCACCCACATACCTGCCAGACCAGGTAGCTCAACCCAGCCATGCCCAGCCAGGCTGGAGAAGGCGTGGGCCAGGAGCAAAGAGCCACAGGTGTTTGCTCTGAATATGTGCCCGGGGAAGTCCGCCAGCCTGCCTGCCCACCCGCTCACTCTCCTTGGCTCATTGGCTCAGAAAGCCCCACCCAGCAGGGCAGTAAAGAACAAAAGCTGCCTCTGGGAGGCCCTCAGGCAGACGGGGCCAGACCAGGGACTGGAGAGAGGCTCCGAGACCCAGAAAGGTAAGGACCAGATTGGGCAGGAGGCTGGGCTGGGAAGCAGGGACCAACAGGTCTAAGGATCCCAGGGAACCTTGGTTGTGGGCTGGGCTCCAGGGAAAAGCAGAGGGGACTGAGAATCCCTGGGGGGGGGGGGGGGCGGGGGGAACCAGGGAAGCCCCAAAGAGGGCAAGGAATGTCCTTCCAGACTAAAGGGAGGACAGCGGACCAGAGGAGAGACGGGAAAAGGAAGGATCAGGAAGATGTGGGGTTTCTATTTGGTTTAGCAAACATTGTGTGTTCACTGGGCCAGGCCGAGTGCCGAGTCCTGTGGATACAGAGATGATAAGACAGGGGGCTGCCCTCCAGAAGGGTAGTCTGGCATCGAAGACAGTTGAATAGACCATCTGAGTATCCATGAAAGAAGGAGGAGGATGCTCAGAAAATGTCCCAAAGGCATGAGATCTGAAGATACTGAGATCTGAGACAGGGACAGAGGAAGGGCTGGGTCAGAGATGGAACATGATGACACTCCAATTAGGGGGTGTGGAGGATGGAGCACACAGGACAGGGACCTGAATGGAAATAAAAGGAGATTTGGCTAGCAAACAGCCACTGTGCAAATGCAGAAGGGGATGTCCATGAGGGAAAAGGTAAACGGGGGGAGGACCGTGCCAGAATCCCACCTCCGTCCCTGCCCCAGTCCCTCCCCTAAAGCCAGAACAGTTGCAATTCCAGAGGAACCCACTGTGGTCAGGACAGTCAGCCAACGGGACCAGCACCCAGAGGGTGGGGACTGGGTGGGCCAGGATGACGCCAAGCCACCATTGTTCCAAAGAGAGAGCCTGTTTGGTTTGGGAGGGAAAGTCAAGGCGGGGATGTCCTGGGGCCAGAGAGGAGGAATGAGAATGGATATCGCTCAGGCGTCTGCCTAGGCCAGTGATGGCGAACCTATGACACGCGTGTCAGAGGTGACACGCGAACTCATTTTTTTGGTTGATTTTTCTTTGTTAAATGGCATTTAAATATATAAAATAAATATCAAAAATATAAGTCTTTGTTTTACTATGGTTGCAAATATCAAAAAATTTCTATATGTGACACGGCACCAGAGTTAAGTTAGGGTTTTTCAAAATGCTGACACGCCGAGCTCAAAAGGTTCGCCATCACTGGCCTAAGAGGCTGATAGGAAGGCCCCCAGCTCAGGGCCTGGCTCCTGTTGGAGGAAACTGGAGGATAAAGATACACATCCCTCCCCTCCTGCCCTGGTCCAGCCCTGGAGCCGACGGCAGAGTGGATCAGTCAATCCGCACCTTCTCGCTACTTGTTTAGAAGCCGGTGACCCACAGGGCGGAAAAGAGTCAGAGGTTGGCAGGCACATCTATGCAGGACGATTGTCCCTCACACGTACCTGTTACCTTATAGAATAAAATATCCCCTGATCTTGGAACTGGAAGACAGAAGTTCAAGACCAGCTCTGCCACTTCCAGCTGTGAGGCCTCGAGCAGGTGCCCCTCGGGGCCTTGGCTTGCTCCCTGTGAAATGGGGACAGTGGCAATCCCTACCCCGCCAAGTCATTGCGAGTGAGGACATGATGACACAGTGGTTGTGAAACAGTTTGGCCGATCACATCTCTAATAAAGGGCACCCATTTCCAGGTTCTCCCCGGCCTGAGCGGGTGCACGCAGGTGTGCACCGCCCGCGTGAGGAACCACCAGCATGAACTGGGCATCCCTGCAGGGCCTCCTGAGTGGGGTCAACAAGTACTCCACGGCGCTCGGCCGCATCTGGCTGTCGGTGGTGTTCATCTTCCGGGTGCTGGTGTTCGTGGTGGCGGCGGAGGACGTGTGGGATGATGAGCAGAAAGACTTCGTCTGCAACACCAAGCAGCCGGGCTGCCCCAACGTCTGCTATGACGAGTTCTTCCCCGTGTCCCACGTGCGCCTCTGGGCCCTGCAGCTCATCCTGGTCACCTGCCCCTCGCTGCTGGTGGTCATGCACGTGGCCTACCGGGAGGAGCGGGAGCGGAGGCACCGCCTGAAGCACGGGCCCAACGCCCCGTCCCTGTACGACAATCCAAGCAAGAAGCGGGGTGGGCTCTGGTGGACATACTTGCTGAGCCTCATCTTCAAGGCCGCCGTGGACTCCGGCTTCCTCTACACCTTCCACCGCCTCTACCAGGGCCATTACGACATGCCCCGCGTGGTGGCCTGCTCCCAGGCGCCCTGCCCCCACACTGTGGACTGCTACATCTCCCGACCCACGGAGAAGAGGGTCTTCACCTACTTCATGGTGGCCACAGCCGTGATCTGCATCCTGCTCAACCTCAGTGAGGTCGCCTACCTGGTGGGCAAGAGGTGCCTGGAGATCGTGGGCCCCAGGCGCCATCGGTCTCGGCGCCGGAGTCGCCTGCATGATTCGTGCCCCCCATATGCCCTCTCCCAGGGAGACCACCCCCAAGATGGGAACTCTGTCCTCATGAAGGCCAGCTCGGCCGAGGTGGATGCAGGTGGGTATCCGTAACCTGTGAGGTTGGCAACTGGGACCGCCACGTCCCCCACCTGCTCCCTGAGGCCACACAGGGCAGTGGCACTTTCTGCAGCAAGGCATTCGAGGAAGGTGGCTGTGGGGCTCCGGAAGCCCACCCAGGGGCCAGTACTGGGGGGCAGTTCTGTCTCAGGGTCCTGAGCCCCAGGGGAAGAAGGCTTAATGGTAGGCATTTTATATATGGCAATAGGGGATGTCAAAACCCTTAATAAATATGATTTTCTCAGTACCTTGCAGACCAGGTGGGGAGTGATGGGTAGGAGAGCAGGGGGTCACAAGGACCTTGGAGCAGAGTCCAGGACCACTCAGTGGGCACCTGAGCCTGGGAACCTCAGATCCTGGTTCAGCCACCACCCACCACACACACACACACACACACACACACACACACACACACACGGAGTGTGCCCCCAGGACATGGTGGGGAATACCCAAAGGCAGAGACTTTTCCAGGGGTTTCTGGACTCTGAAACCAGCTGTCAAGGCAGGAGAGGGACCCCCGGAGACCCTGTGCCCAGCATAAGTCGGTTCTCGGCGAGCGTTCCTCAGATGAATGCATGATGCTCAGGAGGCCGCTGCCTCCCCACCCGGCCTCCCTGACTCTCCCAGCACAGGTCCCGGGTGGGTGAGTCCCCTCTGAGGGGAGGAGGGAAGGCCTAGTGGAGGTGTATGGTCTGAGAGCAATTCCAGGATGAGTGTCTGCCAGGGTGTCGAGGAGGCATATCCCCACAGGCCAGGACAAGCCAAAGGGTCCCTCACGGATCCTCCAGTCTGAGGAATTTTCCTTCTTTTTCCTGGATACACATTCCCTCATTCTCCTCCACCCCCACGTCGCCACTCAGACCTTGGCAACTCCCAAAACCCCACCTCCAGCCTGGACTGCCTGAGTCCCAGAGCGCCCACCAACCGCCCACAGGATGACCCTCCAGGAGGCCCCCAGGCATCTCCCCTCAGCAGCTCCCAACCCTGCCCTCCTCATAGATCACTCCCCACCCCGCGAAGGGCACTGCCAGTTGTCCAAGCCAGGAGCTGGCCTGCCATCGTCATCCCCTCCCATCTCCCAGCCCCTCACACCCCACATCCCAGTGCAGCACCAAATCCCACGATTGCAGCCCCTGCAATGCCTCCTGAGTCTGCGCCTCCTTTCCCACCCCACAGTGGTAACATCTCACTGGGCCCCTCCCCTCTGCCCTCCACTGTAAGGACAGAGTGGTTTTTCTATATAGGAATCTGACCATGTTCCTTCTGCATTAAAAATTCTAGGGTGGAGGAGGAAGAGGGCATAGAGGGGATAAATGGTGACGGAAAGAATAAAATAAATAAAATAAAATAAAATTTGCCCTAGCTGGTTTGGCTCAGTGGATAGAGCGTCAGCCTGCAGACTGAAGGGTCCCAAGTTCGATTCCATTCAAGGGCACATGCCCAGGGTTGCAAGCTCGATCCCCAGAAGGGGGCGTGCAGGAGGCAGCCAATCAATGATTCTCTCTCATCGTTGATGTTTCTATCTCTCTATCTCTCTTTTCCTCTCTGAAATCAATAAAAATATATTTAAAATAAATAAGTGAAAAATTCTTCTACCACCACCCACCATTGCCCTAAACCTGGACACCCCCTCCCCCCCAGCCTCCCAGCCTCACCTGCTTCCTCCCTCCTTGCACCCATCAGTAATACCAAAGGGCTCATGGTTCCCCAACCAGACACAGCATGCTGTGTTGTGCCTCGTGCCTACAGACATGCTGTTCCCTCTGCCTGAAATGTCCTTTCTCCCTCCTCTGGGATCCTTCCTAGAACCTCAGAGAAAGCCTTTTCCACCTTCTCCAGGCACCAGTCTAGCTTCTGCCTCTGTTATTTTCCCCAAATTGGAGCAGTCGTTTCTCTCCATCAGTCTGTGAGCCCTTCATGAGCAGGGCAGGACGGACGCTGAGTCATCTAGGCCCGGCTGCCTTCGGTACATGCTTGTGAACTGAGTAAATGGGCTGTGAGCTGCTTGGCAGAGGGACTGAGTCTTGCTCATCTGAATCGTCCACCACACCTCGCCCAGAGAGTTCGGCAAAGTGTTTTCTCTTTATTTGTTTGAACGCATGTTGTGTTGTTGTTTTACAAGTCCAGCCTAAACTTCTCATTCATAGGTGAGGAAACTTTGGCCTAGGGAGGGGAGGAGACCTTCTAAGTCCACACAGAGTCTGGGAATGAGTCTACGGAGGCTGTGGCCCCTGTGGTCAAAGAGAGAGCTTCCATGTTCACCCCTGATTGTGAGACAAGATTAGAGTCACCCTGTCATGTCAGGGTCCCTGGAAGCAGAGCCAGCAGCAGGAATGTGTGTGCATGTGAAGGAAGGAGCAAGGGAAGCAGGATAGGGAAGGGGCGGAGCGGAGCAGGGTGTGGGCTCAGGGAAGCTTAGCCTTGGCCTGAGCCCTATGGGGTGAGGGACCTTTGGATCATAAACCCTACCACAGAGCTGTCCCCACGGGAGGCAAGGGCATCAGGCTTTTGAAACTCCCAAATCAGTTTGTGATTGGCTTCAGGTCATCTTGAGGACAGGAGAGCAGAAGGAGATGGTGGCTCCTGCCCAGTCAAGATCAATTCTCCAGGGGCAGCTATAAGCCATGAGTGACCAACATTCACAGCAGCTGGAGAACTGGTGTCCCCAGAAAAGGGGTATGGGGAGGGTGCCAATACCATCTACTGAACTTCAGAAATCAAGGGCAACTCTACCTCCAATCCCAAAGAAAAATCAGTTCAAAACCAGGTAACCCCCACACTTCTCAGACCAAGGTAGTTCCCATGTGCAGGCCAGTGGACCAGCCATAATCAACTCCCTCTAGATTCTAGATTCCCCATTCCAGGGGCTGCTACTGGGCGAGCATCCTGGGACCTGACTACTTTCATAGCAGTCCTCTTCATGTGTAGTGTTCCCAGAGGTCTCAAGTCCTGGGCCATTGAGCCAGACAAGGATGGAACACTATCTGATCAGCCTGAGGGCTCCAGAGGGGCCTGGATAACATTCCAGTCATCTCACTCTTACCTTCATCCCACCCACACTCTCCAGACCCCCACACTGCACTGCCCTCATTACCACTCTCAGACCTCTCTACCAACACCTTCTTGAAAACTCTTTGCTTAGCTTAGGCCCCTGCCATCTTTCTCTTCCATCTTCTGCTGGCCCACATTGCTGCCACCTACTTCTCCTCATTCCCTCAAAGACTTGAAACCTACATGATCCTATTAACCAATGTCACCCCAATAAATGTAAGAAAGAAAGAAAGGAAGGAAGGAAGGAAGGAAGGAAGGAAGGAAGGAAGGAAGGAAGGAAGGAAGGAAGGAAGGAAGGAAGGAAGGGAGAGAGGGAGGGAGGGAGGGAGGGAGGGAGGGAGAGAGAGAGAGAGAGAGAGAGAGAGAGAGAGAGAGAGAGAGAGAAAGAAAGAAAGAAAGAAAGAAAGGAAGGAAGGAAGGAAGGAAGGAAGGAAGGAAGGAAGGAAGGAAGGAAGGAAGGAAGGAAGGAAGGAAGGAAGAAAACGACTTGGGCACATGACTCAGTCTTCTGGTATTCTCTCACAGCCCAGGGCCACGGCGACCACCTGTGTATCACTCTGTCCTTTTCATCCCATGCACTCCTATTCTCTCATGACCTCCTCTCCCACTCCATTTAGCTACCCACTCACAGGACCGCACCCCAGACTTTGTCTTCACTCAGAACTGCTCCACTTCTAGAATCTTCCACTTAATTCAAATCGACAAGTATTTATTGTCCATTTCTATGTGATAGGCTCCATGCTAGGTGCTGAGGATACGTCTGGGAAGAATCAAACACAATCCCTGACTGCATGGAGCTTTCATTTTATGAAAAGAAAAGCTCCTAAACTCCTGGTGTCCTGGGGAAGCACGGGGTGCTGGGAGGGGGGGGAAGGTGAATCCAACATCCAGAACATCCAGGCATCCAGGAAAAGATTCCCTGAGACCTCTTAAGCTGACACCTAAAGAAAGAGGAGGATTTTGCCAAGCAAAGCAGGGAGGGGATTCCAGGCAGAAAGCCCAGCACATGAAAGGCCTAGAAAGGGAGAGTCAACCAAGTGAGGGGTCAGGCTGAAGAAGACAGCGGCTAGGTCACACAGGGCTCTCTTTGTAAAGCCCTGTTAATGGTTTTGGACTTTACCCTAAGAACAATGAAAAGTCACTGGAGAGATTTAGCACAGAAGTAACATGGTCTACTTTGCAGTATCTGTGGTTACAGTGCAGAGAAAGGAGCCAGAGCAGGGATGGCTACCTATTTGGGAACTGACACTAATAATCCAATTGAGAAACAACAGTGCCCCAAACTAGGGTGTGCACAGTGGGGATGCAAAGAAGTAGCTGGGTTTAAGAAATGTTTGCAAGATAGAATCAAAAGATTTGGTGGTTGATTGGGTGTGGGGATCAGTTAGAGACAGAAATCAAAGTGACACCCAAGTTTCTGGCTCTGGGTGGTGGTGCATTTACCCAGGGGAGGAGCAGGTTTCAGACAGGGTTGAGTCTGAGACACAAATAAGATCTCCTCTTTATCTCCTCTCATTCATGGACCATCTCTGCCCTTGGCTCAATGTATCTCTTGACTATTATGCTTATTATCATTCTTTTTTTTTTAATATATCTTATTGATTTTTTACAGAGAGGAAGGGAGAAGGATAGAAACATCCATGAGAGAGAAACACCGATCAGCTGCCTCCTGCACACTCCCCACTGGGGATGTGCCCGCAACCAAGGTATATGCCCTTGACCGGAATCGAACCTGGGACCCTTTAGTCCACAGACAGATGCTCTATCCACTGAGCCAAACCGGTTAGGGCTCTTATTATCATTCTTGATGATTTCACATCCAACACCTTGACCTCTCAGTTCCTTGACTTCCTTGCTTCTAACCATCTTTTTCTCCACCCATTGAACCCACCCACATGAGTGCTCACACCCTAGACCTCTCCTGTACCAAGAGCTGCATCATCTCCTATCTATCCAGCTCACTCACTCTAACTCCCACTCCAGCAATCCCATCTGTTGACCCACCACTCTTCCACCATCCATCACTCCCTTCACATCCTCCCTTCCTTTCCCATCTTGGACTCTATAGGCCCCATGTAATTGCTGGTTGTAAATAGCCTCCATCCCTTGCCTTTCAGTGCTTCTGAGTACTACCAGGCAAGACCCTTACTTCAGTTAAGCCCAGCTCTCCATGTGGCACCTGTCCAAGAGCACTTGGAAGATAAA